CGTGTTATATCAGGAACCATTTATTCTCCCAGAGTTATACAGCATGCTAATACGCTTTCGGGCAGCCAAATATGTAGCGACAGCTGACACTGAAAAAGCATTTTTGCAAGTTCACCTTAATGAGAACGAAAGAGATGCAACAAGATCCTGTGGGTCCGCGACATCAACCTCCTTCCGAAAGAAGGCGATGTTATCACTTATCGCTTCACAAGAGTAACATTTGGCCTGAATGTCTCTTCATATTTATTGGCCGGAACAATACGCTATCATGTGCAATATCAGGATCTAAACAAGGACCTCGCAAGCGATATACGTGATAATCTCTACGTGGACAACTTGATCCTTCCCGCAGATACAGGAACTGCAACAGAATGCCCAAGTTTCAAGACAAATTTTTGAGGATATGGGAATGAACTTACGCGAATATCTCTCCAACACCCTTACCCTCACCAAAGTTTTGAGAAAGGAAGTTTGCGTTACGAAACGCATCCAAAACGTACTGGGTGTTACGTGGAACGCTGATGATGATAATTTGATCATCAATGCACGGTATCGCCCTCGGATTTGATAACGAAACGAACTGTTGCGCGCCAAATAGCATCAGTGTATGATCCTCTGGGATGGTTAGTCCCACTAATGACGAAATTGAAAGTATTCCAGCAAAATCTCTGGAAATTGGCGCAAAAGTGGGATGACCCCATTGATACAAACCTACGCGAGGAATGGATTAAGCTCAAGATGAGCGTGGATAGCTATGAAAATTCAATTTCTAGAAGAGTAACGCTAGGTACGGAACCTTATCATCTCGCAGTATTTGCTGATGCAAGCGAGATAGCCATAACAATATGCGCTTACCTGTTCAATGAGCAGTTCTCTTCACTCGTCATAGCCAAGCCAGAACTCCCCTTTATAGACGGTCATACAACATTGCCCAAAATGGATTTGAACGCTTTAACGATAGCGGTACAACTGTCAAACTCGATCTTCAAAGCAATTCGAGAAAGAAGCAAGGAATGTCCGCTTACTATCATTATTCTGTCAGACTCACAGATTGCATTAAGCTGGCTTATGACCATCCCATATCAAGACAAAGCAGGGGTGCTTGTGAGGAACAGGACTAGCGAAATTCGTGAAATTGTCTCGGAACTGGAGGAACAACAGTGTCAAGTACAACTCAAGTACGTGATGACGGAGGAAAATCCTGCGGATTTAGGCACTCGAGGAACAGACTTGCAAGGAATAAATAGTGATATGTGGTGGCATGGACCACCCTTCTTGCGAAGACCCTTGACTGCATGGAGAAACCCAAATTATACGCTGCATAAGGAACAGCCTAGGGCAACAGCATTAGTGTCACGAACAAGATTGATCAAGAAGACATCGAACCAACATCCTTGGGATCTCTCCAAATTTTCAACACTGAAGAAAGCAGTAAACCGTGGCAATAGTATTGATTCATCTACTACATAAACTTCCGCTGGAGCGAGGGGAACACACCCCAGAGTTACACGATATACAGGTTTTGCCCCTTCCCGCGACGGCTCAATCCAAACGAGCAGCGCGAAGAGCGATCATACGCTACCACCAGAAAGAAAATCAATGGAAAATACGCTGCACCTATTCCAAGATCGCCTACACATGTGGCGTTTAAAAGGGAGATTGGAGATGTCATCCTTAGAAGAAGACGCGAAAAATCCGATAATCATAGCGCCAAGGACGGCACTGGCAAATCTGATTAGTCGCGAAGCCCACGGAAATTATCACAATGGAGTAGAACACACGATAGCTAACGTCAGAGCGCAGTATTGGATGCCGCAGCTATGTCAATAAGTGAGACACTTGATCCATGACTGCGTTAACTGTATGAGATTCAACGCACTGCCATATCACTACCCATACTCTACGAATTTACCAGAAAGAAACGTTCAAAGAGGACGGCTTTTTCAACAGATTGGACTCAACTTCTTTGACCTCCCCTCGGTAGATGAAAGCAAAAGCTCCAAAATCTATAGGTGCATCTTTACTTGCATAGTTACACGCTTGATCCACTTGGAGTTGGTAGCCAGTATGAGCACCGAAGATTTCCTGAACGCGTTAAGACGATTTATAGCGAGCAGATGCATTCCAGAATCGATCACTTGTGACAACGCTTCGACTTTTCTCTTGAGAGATTACCGATCTTGAAATTGATTGGCACCACATCACGCCTTATGCTCCATCGCAAGGCTCGTTTTATGAACGTCTTATAAAGTCAATCAAACAGTCGCTGCACAAGGCCACAAGAGAAATGATCATACGTTCCTACGACCAAATGGTGACGATAATGGCGAAAATAGGGACTTGCCTGAACTCACGTCCGCTGACATATCAAGAGGTCAAGCCGGACATGCTTGGAATGATCCGCCCAATCGACTCGCAAAAGGACTGGATTGTAACCCTTCCACTATGCGTAAATCCGTTAACGATCAATGATCCGATTACTTACCACCCGCCGAGTTTAGAACTTTACAAACACGGAAGCAGGTAGAAGAAGCGCTTACGTCGTGTAAATTGCTGGAAGGCTTTCGAAGATATGGCAGCAACATTATCTTAGTAGCCTACGTGAGAAACAACTAAAGAACATTGTAAAGCGGAGACAAGGAACAGAGGTGCCTACGGTTGGTTCGGTAGTGTTATTGAGTGATCCGGTGTTTCCTAGAAACTCGTGGAAACTAGCGCGTCTCACGGAAATTCACCGGGGAGTAGATGGAAAAATCCGCGAAGTTAACCTTACCGCGAACAAGCGTAAAATTCGACGCCCAGTCAACCTTCTCGTCCCGCTGGAAATTGAGGAAGAGGAAAACCATTAACGCCGAGAGCGCCAGTTGAAGCAGCAAGTGACCAGAGAGAAAAGGTGTATCACCGTTATGACCTTCGGCCACGCAAGCAACAACAGTACGTTGAGAGTGCTCTGACCAACCAGAAATCAAATCTGACTAAGAATTTACGCACAAAATGCTTCCTCTTCTATGTCATGTTCTTGACCATACTCTCACCCACAATGCAGGAACGTTCGCATTTAATCATGTTCAGTTGTACGCCCAATGGAGTGTTTCTTCATACGGTCATAGACGAGTCATTCCAAATTTGCGCAGACAACTATTGCAAAACACAAAATCAAGGAGCTCAGTCGCAAATGATACGCTTTCCGGCAGAAATAACTCTCCATGACCACGTGGTTATGCTGAAGTGGAAAAACGGTAAACATATAGAGACAATAAGTACAGTCTGTAAAGGACCTCTGTGATTGATCTGTTTCTGTAGAAACGTAGACTGCTGGTTCTGCTCTACGATCTTACCAAACCCTGAGTGCTGGCCACAAGGGGCGATCATCATCTCAGCAGTCCTGCTATACATGTTCATCGCGATCCTTCTGAATCTTATTTGTGCTACCAAAATGGTGTCGCCAACATGTCAACGCATGAATATTTTTGACCACAAGTCATCTGCACACCAGTGGAGTGAGAGAATGCACGGTAACCTTTCAGAAGTACTAAAGATAAATGCGCTGAAAAGAGAAGCGTGCTTCAATCTTGTCAGCAACACATCACTGGTCACGAGTATCAAGATTCGATGGCAGAGCATCAAACTTGACTGTGATCGGCAAACACTGCTCTTCACGCAAGCCGTCAGATTGAACGTGATAGATAGCAAGCGTTGTGCGCACATAGGATCTTGTCCAAGGAATAAATGCGTGGATGTAAGCAACTTCAATCTTATACCCGAGCTAGAACCAGGAAACGCATTCCCAGGAAGAACTGAATGTATAGAATTCTGTGGGGGATGGAACTGCGATTGCTTCTACCCAAGCGTCGGGTGCTTTTCTACAGAGTCTATGCAGTTCCAAACTCAACAAAGGTCTACGAACTTTTCCGCTGCATGAGATGGCGAGAACAGGCGAAGTTGGAGGTCACACTAGAGCGGGAGGACAAGGAAACAAGTGTTCAACGCTTTATTACACCACTGATTCCCAATGTTCCTGTCGAATTACCCTTACTTTGGATAGTGATGACCATCTTGGCACGCAAAACCCCGATTTGGCAGCTAGAAAATGATCGCGGAGTACTCGTAGCGCGAATCCGAATCCCGCAGATGGCAATGGCGGAATTTATCATAGACTCCATGTAAAAGATCAACGATTTATTCTCGAAGTGCATAACGACGTCTGTACCGTGGAAAACAGCATTTTACAAGGCTGCTACAACTGTGCGCAAGGAGCAAAAACCGTCATCACTTGCAATGCGAAAACGCAAAGATTAGCAGAGATATATCGTGCCCAAGATGCCTTTGCTGTTCCATGTGGTCCAAAAAACCCTCAATCTACCCTGGTGTTCGCGCTGAATGCCGCAAGGCAAGAGATGAACCCTACGGTCAAATGTGGAACAATTTCAAAAAATTTCACAGGACACTCAAATATGTGAGCTCCTTACATATTTGAGTGTCCCAACCTCCTGAGATCCATTTCTAGCAACCATCCAAAGAAACAGCACGCTGTGCAACGAATTCCAGTGGCCTGATCTAGAGTACATATTTGAAACCATGATAGACTGGTATAAGTCAATATTAGTGGAAGTACTAGGGGTTGTAATGGCGCTGTTGATTACCTATTTGACCATTCAATCTCTAGGATTCGAATGATATTTCTGCTTGTAAAGTCAATACGTGCTATTCTCTGTTGTCTCGTACGCGGACTCAACGCACTCATCCAATTTTTTCGTGGTAAAAACAGCACAATTTCGATTCGCTTGCATTGCACCAAAAAACTGCCTGATGTCACTAGAAATACTTATCATTAGTATTTTGTATATTTGAACCGGTACCATTTCAAACCATGAGTCAAGAAGAGAACTGTCCCGCTTGAAAGAAGAGAGCAAACGACTACGCAGCGCCATTCCAACGCTTCCGCTTCCGCCCGTGTTGTTCCAGCAAATCTCGATCACGCCGGGCAGCGTAACCAGACGATGCGAGATGTCAGCCAATTGGAATGGGATGTACTGCGCATCGAAGGTTCACCACAAGAATGGTCTGATCGACTAGCTTTACTGCAGATGAGAGAGAATGAATGTGATCGCTTTAGATTAGAGCTCCTTTATTTGAGAACGCAGTTTTGTATGTTTTTTGCATTGCCTCATTTCCTCGTGGCTACGAACGTGATCTTTCTCGACGCCTGGAAAGCTATGGTTGCGCGCGAGAGGAGAGACGCCCGTGGAATGGAACTGCTCACGAACCAGGATATCATCAACTTCGCCATCGACGACCATCTGCGCAGCGTCACTTCGATCAGCCAAGCAACAAGAGGAACGCACAGAGGTTGCCAGTCGACAGGCACAGATCCTCGCAGCAGTCACCACCCTCGTAGACAGTAAAGAATCCACGTCGAAAAAGGTGGAAGAGTTTGAAACCAGTCTGCAAGATATAGTCGCAATATTGCAGGAAGTCGAGAAAACACGGCCGCAGTTAACATCGGAAGGAGAGACTCCAACGCATAGGGAGGAAATCATCGATGCGGTCGCAAACGCCGTGATGAGTAAGGTCGACGCAAAGTTGGACGAAATACTGGACTCAATCAAGAGATCGCAGCCGACAGGCGAGAGCACAGGGAGAGAGAGTCCAGACGGTGAAAACGCGGCGAGGCAGGAAGAAGAAAGAATGGAAGAACACGCGGCGAACGAGCCTACAGAAACTGTTTAAGAAGCTGTTCATCACTCAGACGACGCAAAGGTCGAGGATGAGCTCCAACTGGAAGAAGAGGCGCTAGGCGAAGAAATTCACAATGAGGAGCCGAACGAAGACGACGAGCATCTCGATGAGGAGATTCCTTTCGAGGAAGAGCTGGAATATGTAGAAGAAGCTAACAGCGATGATGAAGCACCACTCGAACAGGAAGAGAGACGCCAGTTGGAAAAAGAACGCGAAAGACATAAACGGTAGCGGCAACGTCTCAGACCAGACCTAGACCAAGCCATTCAATCAGAACGCGACTTTGAACGTCATAGATGAGCTCTCGCAACGACGAACCTGCCCACCAAAACGCTTTTCACATTGTTTCATTTTACGCGGTGATGAACAAACCATTCAGCGGGTGTTTTGTAAACGCATCGGCAGTGATTATTCAGACTCGTGTCAAACTGTCGCGGACGCAGCGACACGCCGGGATTTACTGAGAGCTGAGCTTCGCTGTGTCATGTGTCTAATCACAGAATGCGCGGAAGACATTTACTGTCGAAAGTACGCAGTGAAGCTATCACTGCCGTGGTTTTGGACACCATTCGGCTATTTGTGAGTTGCCAGAGGAAAGCCAATCAATTATTATACAGCTACGATCTGCACGCGAAGGACTAGAAGGGAACCGCGCAAAAAGGCACAACATCGAACGTCAGCTACGCGAAGAATGCCAGCAATGAGACATCAAAGCGGAGAAAAAATATGCATACCGCTTTACGTATTTACGTTTTCACGGATTGCTTCATGTATCTAACGCTTTCACAATATCGCTTTACGCTTCTTACCCACCATGAAGCCGGCGAAAATATTGCGGAGCGATCGCAAAAATGTAAGCAAATCGCGCGAGCCTGAGAACGGCTGGCATGATATGCGGCTTGACCGTATATCATGCCACGATCTAACAACAAGCGAGAAACGGTACTAAAAGTGCATGATGGAGCTGAGAGAACAATCTCGCTTCTTTACGCGGCTTGAAGGCGACCGACCGGCCGACGCTTCGCCAAACTCCCACGCGTCAAGGTATAGCTTTGGTATCATTAATAATTATAATTGATCACTCACCCGTCTATTGTATTGTCTATTGTATTTTTTTCCGATAAACGAATAAGCCGTCAGCTTGTGTGTCTACCAATATATCACTTTTGAATCATTCCTCACTTGTATCCTTATACAGGGTTGTCTCAAAAAATTGTGAACACTGTTTGATCGCTGGTAACTCCCTTGCTTTCATGACTTTCGCCGAGCTTGAGGCCAGGTTCAGATCTACAGTATGGAACGAATCATCGATCGCTCCTTATTACTGTAGGACAAAAAGACCCGTCCTCATTTTCTGTTATTTCTTAGACAAACTGACTACATCCTCTCTTCAAAGAAAGAAAAAATCCTGTTTTCTCGCTTTTCTCGCCGCTGTCAGCTGTTCATTGATCCTCTCCTACTAAAGAGGCCGAAATTGTACAATTCTGGAGTTTTGTATGTCCCGTAATTTACTCACGAGCAATTTACGGGAAACTAATCTGATTCTCCTCTTTTGCACACTATCTCTCGGGTCACCCTAAAATTGACCCTCGGCTTGACATTCGTTAAACAATGACACTTGGACCGAACAGTCTTTTGATTTTCAACTGAATATTTCAAAGTACGAGAAGATGGGCGGGAATAAGTTTACTCTAGGAAGTTGTTCTGAGTGACTCATTTCAGTTCAGCTGAGGTGAATGGGGGTTAACTATGGGTCAAAGAGAAAAGTAATAGGAACCACGAAATAACAGAGCAACGCGGCATGGGACTGTCAACGGAAAGACACTTGGTCGAAGTGGCGTTTCCGTATAGAGTAAACTTTTCTATACAGCATGAGGCGCTGATTCCAAATCTGCTTTCATTATCTGCAAAAACTTTTAAGAAAAGAGTTATGGAAGTTTTTTCAAGGTGCTAAGGTCATTTTTGCGCTTGAAAGCAGTAATGACCAGGGTAAAGCGGGGGGTGCGACACGCGACCGTCGGATACGACCCCCCCCCCCTGGGCCGCACCCCGGCACGACCCCCTCCCCATTCTGTACCCCCCCCCCCCTTCCCCAAACTCTTTCAAATTGAGGAACGCTTGAGCCGATCAGTAAATGCTTTATTTCAACTCTATCAACTTTCTTTCAAAAAAATGAATGAAGATTAACACTTCAACTTTACAATTTTCTCTGAAAACGGCTTCTCCATTTGAATGAGGCTTGCAAACCATTTGCTCAGATAATCAAATAGAAAGCCTGGTTTGAACGAACTAAGCAGTAGATTGAACGCCTTCTTTTATCTCTCCGATGCGCCGCTCCCGAAAAACGAAGGGATGAGTATAATCATATATGAACCCAACAATAAAGTGACGAAAAAAGAGCTAGATATTAGCAAAAATTACTCTTTTTCGTTCTCGACTATGGATCGTTCTCGACTATGGAGTCTGTTGTTCCTATGCGGGAAGTGGATGGACTTTCTTTTTTTAAGTCGAGAGGCAAACGCATACTGTTGCGATCAAGATTGATCTCTTGAGTAACCTGCAAGATGAGTTCATATGCATGAGCGTTGATCAATGTAAGAAATCGCAGTTACTACTCAATTAATGGATATTTAAAAGCTCTCACTTCTTCCACCTCACTATGTCCCTGCGTCAGTGATTTGTAGATGTCCGCAACCCGTATCAGGAACGATGCAAACACTCTGTTCAAAATAGGTACTCAGTATCTGCTCGATCTTGTAAGTACAATAGCAGACGACATACTCGGACTTCAGCAAACTGGTGCTGTTCGCCTTCCTAAACAAAGGTGATATAGCCACAAGGTGGTAAGAAAGAGATGGCTCCAAAAATCAAGCACGCAGAAATATAACAAATCTAAGCAGCATCTTTTTGTCAACTCAGCCATATCCCCAAGCATTTGTTGACAGTTGAGGTATCGCGACAACGTCATGTTTCAGATATTCAATCATAGAATTTACAATGAGAGGGAGAGCATGCTCGTTAAAAAATATCGACTTGACACCTTCATCGTCAATAGGAATGCTGCTGATTACTATACTGCCTCCTGTGAAATTCGAAACCAATAAAGTCTTCAATACCAATCTCCTGTGTGAGCACAAAATCATTCAGAGAAAGTCTCTGAATCGCCGCCTGTTACATTGCTTATGAACCCTACAGGTACTCAAATGAATTTGTGCTCATATAGGAAATCGATAGTGAAGACTTTATTGAGGTCGAAGTACAAGAAACATACATCTCATCAACAACAGCAACATGATTTCGTTGGTGCCGTAAGTCAGTCTTGATTGAGGTTATAAAGAAAAATAAAATAAAAAGAAATAAAGAACATTTACCTGTACAAAGTCTTCATTGGTGAGATGAGATTACCACTATTCAAGGGAAAAGCTGCATACAGAAAATCGCAGACTGCGTTGTACCAAAGAAGATCCAGAATTATTGGCAAATGCACAAAGAGCAGCAACCTAAACACTTACGCTGAAGAAAATACGGATAGCTTAACGCAACGGAGAAAAAATGGCGTGATAACATTGAAATTTCCAAAACATTTGAGGTGTTCATTTCTTGTGGGCCAACACGTGTCAGAAAAACTTGAAAAATCGTCGCCGATTGCCCCTTTATAGCTTACCAATGAGGAAAATGCCGACAATCAACTGATACAATGAAGATGCTGTGCTAACTGTTGTCTAACTACTTTGCAAAAAAATTATGGTATACATGGATAGCTAAGTGAACGATTGAATGACACTAGCATTAATTGAAAAAAAACTTGCCATATGATCAACGTGATCTCCAACAATTGCAACAAAAATACGTAAAACGTATGCATGGATAGTGCTCATGCGGAAAAAACTTGCTGAACAAAAAAGTAAACTGGAAAAAAGCTATGTAGTACCTTTTGCTCCTCCACTCTCACGAGTTCATTGAGGTATTAACATGTTCTGCGCCAGCGGAAAAAGAGATTGTATTCATACTTGTACGTCTTTCCACACAATGGACATAGATAAGCTCCAGATAGCTGTAAGGAATGGCTACACGTAACCCTTTAGAATCAAAACAAAGAAAATCACACTTGATGAACAGGCAGATGTCGCTCCAGTCGAGCTGAGTTGACAAACGACTGCCTACATTACGGACAAACGAGAGAGAAAAGCGAGAAAAAAAGAGAGAAGCCCGAAAAACTGCGCATCACAAGATGAGATTTTAGCTCGCAGATTCCAAAGACTCGCATCTCGCGGCTTTGTGTTTTGACAATTTTCGAGCACTACCGTAACCCAATATTTTTTGGCCACACTTCCCAGCATATGGTTCGCAAAAACCATATGTATCTCCTGCTAAAGAAAAAGGTTCGGAGGGAAACAGCTACTACGGAGAGAGGAAGGATGGATCTATAGGTTGACATGAAAAAGGCAGCTGTTTGAACGTTTTGAAGGTAAGTTAATGGCCTGCGGCACCCCCCCCCCCTCAAAACCTGCGGCAGCCGCAGGTTTTGAGGGGGGGGGGGGGTGCCGCAGGCCATTAACTATATCAAAAAAACATTTTTAGCGGACAATATTTATATGAATCAATAGCCTAAGCCTCGTAGATTCTATAGGGATGTTTTGAGCCTGATTCGTCTTCTTAGCTCTGAATAATATTTGGTGAAAGCACAGCGATCAAAAGCGAAAAATGGGAAAAACGAGATTTTGGTTGGCTTCTAATTCCACAGTTTGGAGGTCTTCTGAAGCGGGATTCCTGAGGTGGACAAGGAAGGAGTATTGCTCTGTACTGAGTGCAAGAAGAGGTAGCTTACTCACCGTTAAGATGAAGTTAATCATGTTTTAACTTACTGCTTTATACAAGGTTGTTTACTGCTCGGAGACCTCAGAGTTCGCTGAAACTTGGCGCATAGGGGTTATTCGACACGCGGATTACGACAATTATGCTTGATTAGAGGTACGGTAGGTTACGGCAGGCATACGGTATCTGCAAGTTTGTGTCGTTGAACTTGAATTTTGCAGGATTTCAACAGCATGGCACATCTAATAACTTAGCTGCAGTCATTTCCCCTTAGAAACCGCTTTTGACCTTGGGTCGATACGACCCCCCCCTGCCTGCCCCCCCCTCTTACGACCCCCCCCCCCCCCTGCGGCGTGCCGCACCCCTCGCTTTACCCTGGTAATGACTAGCATGAGTTCATTAGACTAGACGTATCA